ATGCATAAACATACATATAGCTCTTTTTGAGGCGGCAAAGAATGGGAATTTGTGGGAGTGCCCAACAACTGGGGAATAGATGTACGAGTTCTGGCAGATGAATGTGATGGAATACTACTATGAAATGAAGAAGGGGATGGTTTCAGAGAAGCCTAGAAAGACTTGTATGAACTGATACAGAGTGAAGGGAGTAGAACCAGAAGAACAATTTATACAGTGAAGCAATATGATAAAGACAAACAACTCTGAAAGAATATTGTGTGTGCGTGTGTGTATAAAAAGAACTTTGCCAAATCTATAAGAACACATCATTCCCCAATTGTTAAATGGTCAAAGGATATGAACAGGCAGTTTTCCAGTGAAGAAATCAAGAGTTTACAGTCACATGAAAAAATGCTCTAAGTCATTATTGATTAGAGAAATGCAAATTAAAACAACCTCGGGATATCCTTTTACACCTATCAGATTGGTTAAGATGATTGAAGGGGAAAGCGACAACCATTGAAAGGGATGAGGAAAAATCAGGACACTGCTGGTGGAACTGTGAAGTGATCCAATCATTTTGGAGAGCAAACTGAAATTATGCCTAAAGAATTATTAAATTGCCTATACATTTTGATCCAGCAATACCAATACTAGGCCTATTTCCAAAGATGATTAGGGGAAAAGGAAAAGAACCTATATGTTCTAAAATGTTTATAGCAGCTTTCTTTGCGGGGGCAAAGAATTGGAAATTGCAGAGATGCCCAGCAATTGGAGAATGGCTGAACAAGTTGATATGGTACATGATTGTGATGGTATATTATTGTGACTGTACTACAAAAAGTGATGCGCTCAATGATCTTAGAAAAACATGGATAGATTTGCACGAAATAACAGGGAGAAAAGAGCAGAATCAAGAGAATGTTGTATACAGTACCAGCAGTACTATTTTAAGAACAACCCTGAGTGACTATGTCATTCTGACTATTATAAATACCCAAATTAACTACAAAGGACTTATGAAGTAAAATGCTATCTGTATCCAGAGAAAGAACTGATAAATGGAAGTATGTATAGAATGATTCTACATATATATGTATACACACATACACACATTTGTGTCTAATGGTAGCCATCTCCAGGGTGGGAGAGAGAAGAATAAAAGAAAAAATAAAGTTATGTGATTATTTTATTATATGTTTAAAAGGAATAGCATGATAAATGTAGCATTTGTCATTCTAGCGGCTCTCAAAGAAACTAACTTTGGAATAAAGGCAAGAGAAATAGGCCTAAATGACCCCCTTAATGTTACCCTGACCCGTGAATAACTTCTTACAATGCCATCTTTAGTACACATTATCTGAGTCCTGCTTTAATAACACTGCAAAACATTATAACAGTGAATACAAGTATAAAACTCTCCTTACAGAAATAGAAAGACCTAAATAATTGGAGAAATATTAATTGCTCCTGGGTAAGCAGAAGCAATGATAAAAATGATACAAATTAAATCAATTTACTTATTCATTGACATACCAACCAACTACCAAGGCATTACATAACTTACATGGAGGAGCAAAAGGTCAAGAACCTCAAGAGAATAATGAAAAAGAGGAGGAAGGAAAGAAACTTGGTGGAGTCAGTTCTCAAATGATACTACATAGTATTAATCCTCAAAGCAATTTGATACTGTTCCAGAAACAGAGAGGTCAGTTAGTGGAACAGACTAGGTATTCAAAACACAGAAGTAAATGAACACAGTAGGGTAGTGTTTTATAAACCCCCAAACTCCAACTATTAGGGTCAGGACTCACTATTGACAAAAACTGCTGATAAAACTGGAAAGTATACTAACAGAAATGACATATATAAATATTTCATACGATATACCAAGATAAGGTCCAAATGGATATACGACTTAGATATAAAAGACAACATGATAAGTAAATAAAAAGAGCAAAGAAGAAATTACCTTTCAGCTCTATGGATGGGGAAGAATGAATGACAAAACAAGGGACAGACAGGATCAGTTGATAAAACAGGCAATTTTGACCAAATAATACTTGAGTTTTTGCAGAAACAAAACCAATGTAGCTACAATTAGAAGGGAAGCTGATAAAGAGGGAAAAAATCTTTGGGACGTCCTCTCTCTTAGTCACTGTTAGTCACTGCTGGCAAGATTCTTGCCAGAGTCCTCCTTAATAGCCTAATCCTTTACCCAGAAGAAGGTCATCTACCTGAGAGCCAGCGTGGCTTCAGAAAGGGCTGAGGAATGGTCAATATGGTGTTTGCCACCCAACGACTCCAGGAGAAATGCCAAGAGCAGAACAGAGGTCTGTACACATTTGTCAACCTGACCAAGGCCTCTGATACTGTTAGTCATGAGGGCTTGTGAAAAATTATGTCAAAATTTGGTTGCCTGGAGAAGTTCATGAGCATCGTACATCAATTTCATGAGAGCATGCTTGCCCGGGTTCTTGATAATGGACGATGCTCTGGTGCTTTCCCAGTCACCAGTGGAATGCAGCAAGACTGTGCTTGCTCCCATGATTTTTAGCATGACATTTTCAGCAATGTTGTCAGATGCCTTCAAGGAGGATGAACATAGCATCAAGGTCAGCTAACTTGAAAAAGGTACAAGCCAAGACTAAAGTGGAAGGAGAGCTAGTACATGATTTTTTATTTGCAGATGACTGTGGACTCAATACAGCCTCTGAGGCTGATGTGCAAAAAAGTATGGATCGATTCTCTACTCCTTGTGCTAATTGTGGCCCAACAATTAACACCAAGAAAACACAGGTTCTCCACCAGCCAGTACCATACCATCCATACAAGGATCCACTGGTTACAGCAAATGGAGAAATTCTGACTACTGTGGATAAGTTCATTTAACTTGGCAGTATACTTTTCAGGGATGTACACCCTGATAATGAAATTGATACATGCACTGCCAGAGTTAGTTCAGTGTCTGGGAGGTCTCAAAGAAAAGCGTGGGAAAGGAAAGGTATTAGACTGCCTATCAAACTGAAGGTCTACAGAGCCATTATGCTGATCTCATTGTCGTATGCCTGTGAAAACTGGACAGTCTACTAGTGCCATGCCCGGAAACTGAACTGATTCCATTTGAATTGTCTTAGCAAGATTCTGAAGATCACCTGGAAAGATAAGGTCCTGGACAGTGAGGTCCTTTCTCAAGCTAAACTGCCAAGCATTCAAACTCTACTGCAGAGAGTGATGTTGTTTGAATATCAAATGTATGTTTGCCTAAAAGACTATTTTATGGAGAACTCACAAAAGGCAAGCACTCCCATGGTGGTCAGAAGAAGTGATACAAGGACACTCTCAAGGTCTCTCTGAAGAACTCTGAAATTGACTGTGTGACATGGGAGATACCGGCACACGACCATCCGGCATGGTATGCCCTCATCAGAGAAGGTGCCATGCTCTTTGAGCAAAGCAGAACTGAAGTAGCTCAGAAGAAATAGGAGATCTGCAAATTTAGAGACAGGTGATCAGCCACAGTCGAACACGCTCTACCTTGACTCCAACATAGTGATGTGATTTTAGTCCTCTCTGAGAATGAAGGATGACAACCAGCCATTTGTTATAAGGGTTTTATTTTTGTTTTTATTTATTTTTCAATGGAGGGGGACTGGGTTGGAGGGAAAGAAAATCAATTTTTGTTAACTGACAAAAGTAAAATTTAATTTAAAAAACATTTTTAAAAGTTTGTGTTAGTACAATCAAATCACTAGCTTGTCAGAGCAGAGCACAGGTCAAAATTAATGTGAAGCAGGAATGAATAAAGGATACACAGCCTGCAATTAAAATAACTCCAACATGCCCTATTTAAATGAGTCATTGACATAAAAAAGGGAAACAGACATATAGAAAGGATGTCAAAATCAATTATAATAATTTCAAACAGAAATTTGCTAATATAAATCAACTGCTATTAATGAGACCAAAAGAACTTAAAAACTACTGTAGCAAATACTTGACTTACTTGTCAAGTAGACAGAGATGCAGCCAAAGCCAAAACTCAATGACAATATGAATTCATTTGTTAAATAAATTTGTTAAATAAATAAATAAGGATGGTAGAAGATAATAAGCAGTAATTGCCTCATTAAAAAAAGCAGTGAAAGGAAAAAATCACTTTAAAGAAACTTCATAGAAACTAAGCAAGTTATCTTGAAGGCATTTAAGGATGAAACTAGAAAAAGATAACAGAAGAAAAGATAGAAAAGATCTGCAAATAGTTTTACAACTCTTTACACCATTCAAGGAAACTGTAGCCAACAGTCAAACTCTAACTTTTTAGAGTTGGCTATGCTTCTAGAAAATAGAGATATGGCACTGAAGAAAACAAATATGGGAAAAGCTGCTAGAATAGACTAAATAGGGGCAGCCACATGGTGCAGTGGATAGAGCTCCGGCCTTGGAGTGAGGGAGAACTGAATTCAAATCTGGCCTCAGACACTTGACACTTATTAGCTGTGTGACCCTGGGCAAGTCACTTACCCCCAATTGCCTCACCAAAAAAAAAAAAAAAAGAAAAAAAAGAATAGAATAAACCAGATATACGGGAGATAGCACAATTTTTTTCCCAAGGTATTTAAAGCCCAAAGAAACCAAAGCCCTGCGGGGGAAAAAAAGAAAAACCAAAAAAAAAAAAAACCAACCCAAAACACCTCAGACTGCATTGTTAGTTAAAAAAAAAAAGACCAAGAGAATATCAATAATGATCGACCCATACGACTACTATCCCATCTACGTGAAATTTTCATGAGAATTTACACACTTACTGAGGGCAACCTAGATAAAGATATTAGAAGGGAAAGAAACAGGCAGGCTTTCACAAGCAATATCCCACAATAGATCACATTTTTATCATCACACAATTGATGTAGAGATGAAGATGTAGAGAGTATAACATCCCACTATCTGCACTGTTTTGTTTTTTTACTGTTTTTAAGAAAGTATTTGGGCTTCTGGGTCGAGGGTCAGTGAAAAAAATGGTGCCGCCCATGAATGTCTCCCCGCTCATCAAGGCAGAACGGTATTTGGCCCTGCTCTTGGGAACAGTCTAGGGTTCAAAGCATTATGCTTATGTAAAGGCTCGGGCAGAAAAAGAATGGAAGCCAGCAGCAGAGCAAAAAAGAGGAGGAAGAAATGAAGAAGGCTCAGCAGAACTTGGAAAAAGCCTGAGGTGACACCATATTGAAATAAAAGATTTGCTGCGTTTTCTTCTGCAAGACTCGTGGTCTAATAAAGCTTTCTACAATGTTAAAAAAAAAAGTATTTGATTCAATCGAGCACAACTCTGCCGAGATTCCTTGAAAGATAGAGTCATAAAGACAATCTTCTCCCATGACTCTCGATTATTACCGTTAAATTCAACGTAAAATGGGCAGACATGTTTATTATTATCATGGAGGTAATCCATGTTGGAATCCAACTTGGAGAGGGATTCCTTATAGACAACGAGGTCCTTCAGATGCTTCTTTTCACAGGTGACATTGCCTCAAGCTCCAGAACAATGAAATCCTAAATGAAATCTATTATCATTCTGAAAAGTCTGGGTTAACCAGCCACACAGGCAAAAGCAAGTAGATAGAAAATTGCTTATTGTTAAGACTGGGATAAGCAGTTGAATGAAGAACCCATAAATCTCCTCCACCAACATATCCATAAACATCTATATATCCATTAGATTATATATGGATTATAAAAGAATATATATATACATATATATATATTATATACATCTAATACACACACTGCAACTGGATAATGAATTAGGCCCAAAACAGAAGAGGTAAATGGGCTGGATTGTCTTTGGGAAATTGCAAAATTCTTTTAATGACCCTAAGCTTCTTCCTAAAACAAAGGGCCATCTTTTTGAAGAACAACATTCTGATGCTCATACTCCAAAGAACTGAATTTGAGGCTCATTCAAAGGGCAATGGAGAGCTATATGGCAGCCGTGAGCTACATCACCAATGAGGAATTACAGGAGGAGTGGTGTAAGAAGGGCATCAAAAAGACACCTGAGGGAAAAAGACTGACTGGTCATGTGGGACAGCCAACAGACAGGCTTGGAGCACCACTGCTTGAGATGTTAGAAGAAAGGGATAAATGGTGGTTGGTTGAATGAGTCCCCTGTGGTCCAACAGGATCAGCAGCAGCCATGGATGAGAATATCCACTTCAATGAGATCGAAGATTCATTTGAGTATGAAAGATTTTTTTTTTAAACACTAATTCAGTCACTAAAAGAAGAACTCATACTGATGGGTTCACTCAAACACTTAAGTATGGAGCCAATGTGGAAGTTTATCCTCTATTAAAATACATCTTAAGTCTCCTTTAAAAATACTGAATGAAACACAAGAACAGAAGAAGCTGGAATGAATGAGGAAGAAAGTTTTTCACTCCCTGAACCCTCTAAAACTTGCATCTTCCCCTCCCCTAAGATGAGACTCCTGTAGTCAATGACAGAGGAAAATCAGGGGAAAGTCAAGGCAAGAACCTGTTCTCTCTGCCATCCACTAATTAGCTTCTCTCTTCAAACTGATAATCTAGTTACCCCCTTGTGATACAAAACTGTTGCCAGGGAACCTTCAATGGTTAAGACTCAGATGGGTTATCATTACCAACAGAGCTTTGGGGAGAGGGGTGGTGCTCTTCCTTTCCCTTGTGGGGAGACAAGGGCCTGTTTCAAAGAACTTGCAGACTAATAAGCCCTCTCTCTCACTGCAAGGAGGTAATTCTCTGAGGGTCTTTGGATATGAACACGCCTGGCATTTGTGGATCACAGGATTTAGAACCACAAGGGACCTCAGAAATATATGAATTACCAATCAATTGCCAAGCATTTATTAAGCACCAGACCCTGGGCTAAACGCAGGGGATTCAGTGATAAAACTTAAGTAGTTGTTCACCTCTAGAAGCTCACATTCTAACAAAGGAGACAATCGGTACATAAATAAGTGTAAAAACCATACATAAAAAACGGGGGCGTGGGGCACTAGAAACTGGCGGAGTCAGCAAAGACTCCTGTAGAAAGACATACTTCAGTGAAGTCTTGAAGCAGTCTTGGGATCCCAAGAGGCAAAGGTGAGGTGGCAGTACATTCTGAGAAGCAGCACATGCAAAGGTATGAAGGTAGGAGATGGATGTCATACATAAGGACCAAGAAGAAGGCCAGTTTAGATAAAATGTACATTGCAGGAAAAAATCATATCATAGGCATACATATAATAAAACTAGAAAAGACAGACGGGGCCAGGCAGTGAGGAGTTTCTACTTCATCCAGGAAGCAGCAGGGTAACAAGAGGGCATAGCGGGCAAGGGAGTGACATGGTCAGACCCAGGCGATCACTCTGACAACGTGTGGAGGACAGACTGGAGAAGAGAGAGACTGGAAGAGAGAAGGAGACCAATTAGCGAGCTGCAGCAACAGTTCAGAAGAGAGGTGTTTAAGATGGAACCAGGGAGGTGGCTCTGTGGATGAAGAGAAAGATGGATTTGAGAAGGCAGAGACAACAAGCTATGGTAACTGGCTGGATAAGTCCAGGAAGTGAGAGTGAGGAGGCAAGATGACAGAAAGGTCATCCGTGGGGGCAGGGGGGGCAACCTACTCCCCTCATTTTAGAGATGAGGATCAGAAGCTGCAAAAGCTTCGTGACTTGTCTGTGGTGATACAGGGATATAAGGTCAGAAGAAGGATTTGAACTCAGGTCTCTCCACTCTAATTCCAGCCCTATTTCTTAGCTATATCATATAGCATAGGAAAATCCGCTGCTCCTTCCCGAGGAGCCAAGATTCCTGATGCCCTTCCGATTTTCATAGCATCACTAAGCCTGAGTGCTGATCATCCTGCTACCTAACTTAACCTTGTTCATGTCATCCAGTTGACATGAATAGTTTGGAAGTTAACTTCTTACTCAAGCATGACCTACTGCTTCCGTATTGAGCCAATACTTACAGGAAACAGTGATTCATTCAGAACACAGACAATGTCACAACCATCCACACAGATTCTGGTCCATCCTGGGGGAGCCACCCCTTCTAACAATTACATACTCTCTCCAAGGCCAACTCTCGGCACGCATCACTTCAAAGTAACACTAAGTTACAAATGGACATTTGCGGGATTTGTTTTTACACTTTAATGTGTTGTGGGGGGCATGAATCCTACTTTATGACACAATGTAAAACAAACGGCAACAAACTTTGGTCACAAAAGCCTGATCTGATGATTTACAACATCAACACTTCTTTCATTACGGTACAATTTTTTTTTCCAGTTTTTAATTAAAGATTAAACATTTGAACTGAAAGGTGGCACATATATACATATACATACATATATTATATACATACATACATATATATAATATGTGTGTGCAGGTGTCAATGTTGGAGCTAACAGTACAGTTCATTTTGATTCAACACAGCTGATGTTTTTAGATACTGCAGTCAACATATATTTATCCCATACGTATGAGATTCTGAAGATGGTTCCATTGCCTTTTCTCATTCGGTTCAATGAAATTTCTAACAGGGCCCTCAGGGAAGATTTCTTTCCATTGTTTGAGGAAGTTCTAAGTACTCTGTGCTATATTCCTATGGGGATAAAATGGGGTCCTTGATTTCATTGCTATGATTTTAAAGTCCCTCTCTTTTCGAGGCTTAGTGTCTAGAGTTCTGGGTCTGGATTCACTTAGATCTGAGTTCACATTTTACCTCAGACACTTACTAGCTGTATGCTCCTAGGAAAGTCACTTAACCTCTTTCTGCCTCAATTTCCACAACCGTAAAATGGGGATAATAACAGCACCTACTTCCTAGGGTTGTTGTGGGGATCAAATGAAATTTCTATAAAGTACTTATCACACATAGTAGGTGCTAAATAAATGCTTATTCCTTCCTTTCCTCTTTATTTCTTATGACCCTTTTCGGAAAAAAACATTGAGAGCAGCACACTCAAAGCAGCTGTTGAGCTATTACAAAAATTTCTTTAGCCCAGTAATTGAGGCTCATAAGGCACAAACTACTATTATTTTATGGACATCATAAGCACCTTGAGCTCACAGCAGTAGTATGCTCATAGTAGGTGCTCCATAATGTGTCTCAAAGCCTCCACTCCAATGCCCCACCATGGTACGGTGATGACCTGGGCTCCTGCAGTTTAGGTCTACTCTAGCAGATGCTAGCATGCTACAAAAACTTCCTCTCAGGTCCTCCGAAGGCATGTCTTTCATCTGAAGACCACGCCAGCTAAGGATAGAGAGGCTCATCGCCAACTAGTTGCAGGGGGATGAATTTGTTGGCCAAGCAGCTCCTGAAGATCACCTCCCAACTAAGACACTGAGGAAGATTGAGTCGCATCAATGAAAGGAGTATGCAGACCAAGGAAGTCTGGAGACCTGAGGGCAAGGAAGTACTGAGGTGTGTACCGCAGGCAAGACAAGGCCCACCGATGGGCCAGCCAGTTTGTATTCCTCAGAACTAACTCCAATCCATGGACCCATCAGTCCTGAGTGTCTATGGCAGAGGTGGGGAATCTGTTGGTCCATGCCCACCCACCCAAGCCCAGTCTGTTTTTTACCTCCTCCTTCCCTAATCATCTCAAACCATGATATTATCTTTCTAGTTTCAATCTACTTCTACTGCTGGCCCAAAGCTTTCTCTGAGCTGCCTTGGTCACCAAAGAATAACAGCACTTGTCCAATAACAAAAATAATTGACATCTATAGAGCTCTTTAAAGTCCGCAAAGAACTTTACATATAATCTCATTTGAGCCTCACAACAGCCCAGTGAGATGGGTATGAAAGGTATTATTGTCCCCATTGTACGTAAGAGGAAACAGGTTCGGAAGTTAAGTGACTTGCCTCTGGTTCCATTAGCTAATAAACATCACAGGTGGGATTTGAACCTGGACTTCCTCACCTATTCTCCATGGTCTAACTCTCCTGACCCTCCAAACAGCAGACTTTCCTTGTTCCCTCAGTTCTACCACTGTTAGTAAATCATTTCTTAAACTACTTTCTGTTTCCTTCCTAGAGGCCTGGGTTTCACTTCTGATTCACTGCTTGAGGTGAGACTCCTTATTCAGTCTCTCCCAGCAAGTACTGGGCCACATCCCTTAATTACTCCTTAACTCTTCATAATTTTAACATACTATAAATTTTTAAAGGATCCCTCATTTCCTCAGCGGGATGTAGATCCAATGTATCTTCAGCTAAATAGATTAACAATAATAATAATAACTGACATTCACACTACTGCTTCAAAGTCTGCAGTGTGGTTAACACATTCTCTCTTTTTTTCTTCTTCCTCCCTACATTTCTCTCTACCACCCCTCAGTTTCTGTCTTAACTTTTCCTATCTGTGTTTTGTTCAGCTTTTCTTGGTCTCTTCTTGTGTGTCTTTTAGTCTGCCTGTCTCTCCTCTGCTCTGTTCCCATTCCTGTCTCCCTGTGTCTTCATTCTACATATAGTTTCATCTGAACCTCAAGACAAGCCCCTGGGGTAAGCATGACAAATCATCTCCATTTTAAACAGGTGCTCAGAGAATCTAAGTGCCCCAACAGGTCCTAGGAAGGTGTGAAGCTTACTCAGGGAGGCAAAGGTGTCTACCCAAAATCACAAGGCTAATAAGTGAAAAAGGCAGAGAGGCTGGACTGCAATCAGAATTTCTGGATGCCAAGCTGCTCTCTAATCAGTAACAGATGTAATTAGAATTCCATGAAGGGCAAGTCCTGACCACCAGTGCGGTACCAAAGCAGACACTTTGGAGTGGAGAAGAAAGGCAGGGTGGGCCTTAGAGATCTTGCTCACTTACAGGGATGCTCTAATCAACAAAGTTTCCCGATCTTCCCTGCTCCTGGTGCTGTCTCCCCAAATTACCTTCCATCTATTTTTGTACCTATGTATACACCTTACTTGTAATCTAAATTTTTTTTTTATTTTTAGGCAATTGGGGTTAAGTGACTTGCCCAGGGTCACACAGCTAGTACATGTCAAGTGTTTGGTCTGAGGCTGGATTTGAACTCAGGTCCTCCTGACTTCAGGGCCGGAGCTCTATCCACTGCACCGCCTGGCTGCCCCACTTGTAATCTAACGGACTGCAAGCTCCTCCATGGGAGAGCTTGATACACTTTGGTCCTTGTATCCCCAATCAATCAATCAATCAACATCGTGATTGCTGCCCTTGCAGGCAGGCTGACCTGGGTTCAGAGAGGGTGACCCCACCTCTGACACAGACTGGCTGTGGGATCTGGCCAAATCACTCAACCTCTCTGTGCTTTAGACGATTCTCCAAAGCACTGAGTGGCACTGACGGAGGTCCGCCTGCGTTGGTGGAGGGCTAATGAATTAACCAGTCCCTGGTCTCCACATGCCAACAAAATGTCTGAAGCGCCTGCTATGCGTCTGGCAGGGTCCTAAGCGCAGCGAGTAAGCGCCATTAAGGACAAAAGCGGTTTGCGCCTCTAGCATGGGTTGACAGAAACGGCTGCCCTCAAGGCGCTTACACTCTACTCTGGCCTCGCGCTGCGGCTGCGCAGGGCTAGGGTGCGCGCGCAGCCCCCGCAGCCCCGCCGCTGATTGGACGGCGGCTCGGCCTCACATCCGGGCTCGGAGGGAGGCATCTCCTCGCTACACCCCATCTCACCTCTGCGGACAGCGCAGGCGGCTGCGGCGGCGGCGGCGGCGGCTCCACTCGAAGTCTGGCCCGGCTGTAGGGCCCCGAGGCGGTTTACCCCAGCATAACCACAGCCGCGCCTCTCATTGGCTGCCCCGCCGGAAGTGCGTCAGCGCGCACGCGCAGGAAGGAGCGGGCCCTGCCCCGGCCGGCCTTCCCGCTCGCGTGGCCGTCCGGCTGGAGCCTCCAGGTAGGCGGGGCCGGGGTGGGCTGGGCTGCTCGACAGCCGGGGACCCCATTCCCCCCAGTGCCCCTGGCCCCGAACCATTCCCGGCGTAGTACCTTCTCTCCGTGCGGTCCGAGGCAGAACCTCCGTAGGGCGGCGGGAGAACCCGCAGGGCCCATTCCGTCTCCCATCTCCGCGCCTTTACCCAGGCTGGCACCTCTGCCTGGGGCACCTTCCCCTCCTCTCCTGCTCGCTCCCGCCTCCCTTTTCCTTGTAGCACACTTGGTGCGTTTAGTATTGCCCCCATGGAGTGTAAGCTACTCGAAGGCAGGGACTGTCTCATTGTCGTTGCTGTGTCCGCGGCACGGGGTGTTGAACACAGTTGGCGCTTAATATTTGCATTTCACTCAAGTTAGAGAACCTGCTCTTGAGTCCCAGCTCTGCCGCTTAGTGTCTGGGGGCCTCGGACAAGTCACTTTACCTTCGCTTTAACATTTGTCAAAAGAGAGGGTTAGGCCAAGTGTTTGTGGGGGTCTCTTCCAGCCCTTTAGCCCCTGGAGGGCCTCAAAGGCCCCTAGCTGTGTGACCTTGGGCAAGTCACTTCACTGCTGCCTGCCTCAGTTTCCTCATCTGTAAAATGGGGATAATAACAGCACCGCCTCCTAGGATTGTTGTGAGGATCACACGGGATGATAATTACCCGCCTAGCATGGCGCTTGGCACGTAGTCATTCAGTTGTTTTTCAGTCGTGTCAGATTCTTGGTGACCCCATTTGGCGTTTTCTTGGAGCGGTTTGCCATTTCCTCCTCCAGCTCATTTTACAGATGAGGAAACTGAGGCAAAGAGGGTCAAGTGACTTGCCCAGGGTCACACAGCTAGTAAGTGGCCGAGGCTGGATTTGAACTCTGGAAGATGAGTCTTCCTGACTCCAGGCCGGGACTCTATCCACTGCCCACCTAGCTGCTCTGACATACAGTAAGAGCTGTGTAAATGTTAGCTGTTAATATAAACTGTACAACAGCACTGTATAATAGCACCTACCACCCAAGGTTGTTGTAAGGATCAAATGAAATAATATTTGTAAACTGCCTAGCACAGTGCGTGGCCCCAATGGAAGTTAAATAAATGTTGGGTATGTTGTTATTGTGTGAGCTATGATAGAAGAAAGAGGCTTTACCTTTAGGAGGACAAGAAGTGTAGTGTTAGATAAAAGGAAGAGAAGGATTCAGCCACTTACTTCTCTGGGGCCCCATCTATTTTAGGCAAAACCTAAGATTTAGAGCTGGAAGGAGCCTTAATAGCTAAGACAGTTGTCAGCCTCCTGTGCTCATCCATCCTAAACCGTTTTTTCTGGCTTCACTGCAATCTTGCATGACTCCGTTTTCCCCAGACTCTGGTCTCACTTTCCTCTCTTCAGAACCTGAACGCTGATGAACTAGTTCAGTTTTACCTTGTGCCTGCCCTAGGATCCCTTATCCCTCCGTCTTCTTCCGGGATGGCTCCTGGGTTCACCTTTCCTGCTTTTGCTGGTCCGTGATAGAGGAAGTCCAAGGATCCAGCCCAGGTGGCTGATAAGCACTGAGCTGAGGATACAAAGAAAAAGCAGAAATGGGCCTGCCTTCTAGGAACTGACATTTTATTGAGAGAGGTGACTGGTACATAGATGAGTACGGAGCAGATACTAGGGGAAGGCACTAACAAACCTGTGGAGGAAAAAAGAAAAGCCTCTGGCCTAGCCGAGTTTTGTGTAATGGCCTTACAACAGTTAATTCCTTTTAAGCTGAGGGGTCAATATAATGGCTCCCTAAGGTCCACTTGATTTTCTCCTGTTTAACTTTAGGTAGTTTGTTTCAGATGAAAAGTCTGAATTAAGTCACAATCTCTCTGAGTGCCTGATTAGGAAAATTCCCGAGACTTAGGTATGTTTTGAGTTCCTTGTCTAAACTTACATTTTTATCTCTCTTTAGTTAACCCCTGGCCTTTTTGTGTTTGAGACAAAATTTCAGTTTGTTAGAAACATTTGAGTAACTAAATAGCAGATTATGTTGTAATGTCTTTGGATGGACGGTCGTGGCAGGGTGGGGGCAGGGAGGGAGGGGGAAGTGTTGAAGGGCCGGGTAAGATGGGGAAAGAACTGCCCTTTTCTTGAGACCTACCTCAGCCTGAGTCTAAGACCCGGTAGAGCTTCCTCACTACCTCCCCTCTCCATAGGCCAGCGTGCTTTGCTTCTCACAGACGTACTACAGACGTCAGGCTCGTTCGGGCCCCTCAGGATCTGGCCTTCCAGTTCTGAGATGACTTCTTGCTTTTCTGCAAATTGCATAAGAAGTGACTCAGTTTCACACAATGATTTTGATTCAGTCAATAAGCATTGATTAAGTGCCTACTGTGTGCCAGCCACTGCGCTAAGCACCGGAGATACAAAGAAATGTTTTTCGGAAGCACAGTTTTGACCATTTCACTTCCCTTTTCGGTAGATTGCATTGGTTCCCTCTGGCCTCTGGGATCAGATCTAAACTCCTTTGGCATTTAAAGCCCTCCACATGCTGCGGTCGGTCCAGCCACACAGAGCTCCCTTGCCCTTCTTGTTGCAGCCCTGCCCGCTGGCAGTCCCCCATGCCTAGGGGTCAGCTTGGTTTTTTCCTCCTTCCTCCGTTGTGCCTCTCAGAATCCATTGCTTTACTCAAGACTAAAACCAAGGACCACCTTCTGCTGCTGGTGCCTTTCCTCCGGTGTTGTCCTGTGCCTGTTTTGTGTGATTTTGTACCTATCTGGATGTGTTCTGGATGTCTCCCCGGGATGAGGTCCTTGAGAGCAAAGATTGTTTTCCTTTGTCTCTGTGTACCTACGAAGCATGGCGTATGACACATAGTAGGGGCAGCTAAGTAGTGAATGGATAAAGCACTGGTCTTGGAGTCAGTCAGGAGGACTGAAGTTTAAATCCGGCCTCAGACACACTCTAGCTGTGTGACCCTGGGCAAGTCACTTAACCCCCGACGGGGGGGGAGGGTTCATTTTACGTACGGAGAATCTCCAACATATGGAAGTGACCTATCCACAGTAATTCTCGGTGATTTTCTGGTGAAGCCAGCTGCCACCTCCACGCCTCTGTCTCCTGTCACTTCATATTCAGCCTTCTCCTTCCTGAACTCTAGTTCATCATCTCCAGCTGCCTACTGGACTTGTCCCCCAGCATGTCCCATGCCAGGTTTCTCAAAGTCAGCATGTCCAAAACATCATATTTTCTTACCCACCCCTCCTCCTGACTTGCTGACTCCTATTGTTGGACCCACGGTCCTTGTGGTTTGCAGCCTCAGCTTCATCCCCAAATCCCTACTCCCCACATCTAATCAGTTGCCGGGTTTTGTCCATTCCTCCTTCACATTTCTCACATCCTTCCCTTTTTCTTTATGCTCAGCACAACCATCCTTGTCCAGACCTCCCTTCATCACTCCTCTCCTGAAACATTACAGTACCCTCCTCATTGGTCTCTCCACTCTGTAATCCATCCCCCCCACCCCAAGCTGCCACATTGATGTTCCTAAGCCACTTCCCTTTTCTCTAGAACCTTTAGTGGCTCCCCATTGCCTCTGGGATAAAGCACCAGCTTCACAGTCTGACCCCTCCAATCTTTCCAAGCTGATTACAGGTCCCTGACCTTCCCTCAAACTTTTCTCCTTGCTGTTCTCTGTAGTCAGCTGCCATCTTCTCTCCTTTCTTTGTGCCTTGGCCTTGTGACTCAGGTGCTCTCCTTTCTCCTTCCTCCTTTCTCCCAGCTCCCTTCAGGCTTCAGTGCCACCTCCTTCAAGAGACCTTTCCTGATTCGCCCTGTTTATGGCTCCCTACTGGGCCACTTTGTTTTTTATAGCCTAGATAGATAGATAGATAGATATCTGCACGTGTGTGTGTATCTCTGCAAAAATGTTCCCCTCCTCCCAGTAGAATGTGAGTTCCTTGAGGGCAGGAATTGTCTCACTTTTGTAGTTGTCTCCCTAACAGGGCCTAGCGCATGATAGGCTCTTAATAAATGCTTATTGAGTGATTCCACTGTAGCACACTTACAATAAAACCAAGGAATAATCTCTCTCCTTTTGCCTTTGCTTACGTCTTGTGCCATCTCTCTCCTTTGCCTGGGGAAGGCCTACCTTTTCAAGCCCAGCCCAAATGCTACCTTCTTTAGGACGCTTTTCCCAATCATTAATGACCACCCACCCCCATATATAAAACTTTGTTTTATCACTCCAATACATTGAACACGGTCACTACTTTCAAGCTTAGGTCAAGGACCAAGGCTCATCCATCATTTCTAAAGTCTGGAGGCCACAAGTTCCCCAGCCCTGTTATAAAGCCTCCAGCGCCTACCTAGCGCAGTGCTCTGTGTGCTGAAGTAGGCCCTCAAATGGTGGTGGTTGTTCATCCAAGTCCCTCGTACCCAAGTTAATTCTTCCCCCCTCTTCCACCATCCTAGAGTGGGAGAGGCCCTTAGGGACCACGGAGCCCAACTTCAGCTTGATTCAGTACAACTTGGAAGAGTAACCACTAAGCTCTTTTAATGAAAGGCTTCCATTTGTTGGCTCCAGAGAGAGTCTGAAACTGATAGGCTTGGAAGTCAGCGGTCAGTCCCCTGAGGTCCTAAGGGACAATTTCTCAGGGCCTGAGTTTCGGATGAAGCCAGTGGGCACAGGACAAGGGCCTGAGACCTGAGACTTAGGCAGTTGGGATGTTCTGTTACTTTAGAAAGTCAATCTTGGGGTTTTGATGAAAGTTGTAGTGCTTTCACTGAGTACTAGGGGGTGCCCTTGAATTGCTTTCTTCTGAGTTAGTCTAAGTCAGAAATATTTCATCATTTAATTCAATAATAATAATAATAATGATAGCTACTATTTGATAAATAATTGTTGAGGGGGTTTCGAAGAAAGGCCTGAAATTGATTCAGGAAATTCAAGTATTGATCGTTTATGACTTTTATCCAGACTTTTGTTTCATTGAGTAATTCATTAATGTCAACAAATGGAGTAGGAAATGGATATTTCTAGACATAACAGATTCAGTACCATATGTAGCCATAGCATTTCTGTGTAAGTTTGACTGAGATTGTCCTCATTTACATATTTGGTGCAGGTACTGATTGCTCTAATGCAAATTTTTAAAAGCTCAAGTAGAAAAAATGGATTTTTAATTATAAACTTCAGAATAATCTTTTGAGTTCCCATTTCTAAACCACCTAACAAAGGCATTCTGAGCTGAACTCTGTCATTTCCAGAATGACTTTGGACTGGTCACTTCACGTGTGTCTGAGATTCTCCTTACATAAAATGGACAGGTTGGAATAGATGGGCTCTCAAGCCCATTCCAGCTCCACATCTTTCTGAGGCCCTCTCATGTACAGGGAAATATGAAGTTCTTTAATTATATATGAATTGGCATTTTATGTACCTCATTTTATGCAATGAGTACTTTGAATGTATGTAAATTCAATTCATAAAAACTCACCCAAGCTAGGTTATCAATTCCATTATGAAGACTGACTTATCTAATTGTTTTATAAGCTTGGTATCTCAATCTTTTTTTTTTTTTGGTAGATAGAGTTTATTTTTGCCTCTGGCATTCAACTCTTAGCATCCCAATTTATGTTCTTTTTTGATTGACCAACTCTTTAAAACTATTTCCCATAAACAAGAGCAGGAATCACTTAGCTAATGTTACATTTAATTTGTATGTAAGATTAGTCTGATCAACTTTGTTCTCATTTTCTAGGTACGTTTATCCATCTTTCTATGAAAAAATTAAAATGGCTTCTAGAGGAAAGACAGAGACAAGTAAATTAAAACAGAACTTAGAAGAACAGTTGGACAGACTAATGCAACAGTTACAAGATCTGGAAGAATGCAGGTAGTATTAACAAGATTTTGCATTATTACAATGAGAAAAAAATGTCTTAGCTCCCCAAACTAGATTGTAAGCTCCTTGAGAGTAGGGACATGGTACCTGAGCAGGGACATAGTAGAAGAAGTCCAGACAATCAGGAATGAAGACAGGACTGGCCCAGGTGTCTTCCTTTTAATGGAGGCTCTGGGAGGAACCAGAGATTCCCTGACAAGAAGCAGAGCTACGGGGGTGTGGGATGCTTGTAATATGAGGCGTCCAGGAGCGGAGGGAACTTCCAGGGTGAAGAGGTCTCAGCTGTTTGTCACTGTGATAGAAAAGCTCCACCTTCAGTAATGATACCGTTCAGAAATCTAGGGAGGGTATAGATAATCTTTGTCATCTCCTTGACTCCTATGCCTTGAATCATCGCCTGCACAGAGAGCCATTCCTAAGCTCATTCCTGAACTCTGTTCCCCAGACAGAATGAGGAACTGCTGGGTGTGCCTCCTTCTGGACAGCCTGTAGAGATCTCAGCTCTGGAGGTCCAGAGTGGAGTCATTTCCACCCTCAAACTTGCTTTCCTCAGCCTTCCCTGTTCCTTTTGAGGGTACCACCACCCTCCCAGTCACCCAGGTTGATAATACTGTAGTCATCCTTGACTCTTTTCTCTCCATTCCCCCACAACATCTCTTATATCCTTTCCCCTTCTCCTCCTACAGACCCACCACCCACTGTCAGGCCTTCCTCATTTCTTAGCTGAAATACCGCAGCCACCTTCTCATTGGTTTCTCTGCTTCCGTCATCTCCTCTGGGCCATCCATCTTCCACACAATGCCCACAAACGTTCAGTGGCTCCCCATTGCCCAGAGGACGCAGTATAAGCTCCTTCACGCGGCATTGAAGGCCCTCCACAGCCTGGCTCCCAACAAACTTCCCAGCCTGGTTTTATAGCGCTGTGCATTCCAGCCAAACTGGACAGTTGCTGTTCTCTGAACTCAGCATTCACCTACTGCTCTGTGCATTTGCGTCCAAGCCAGGCCTCCTCCTCTCCAGCTCCCAGAAGCCGTGTTTCCCTTTAAAGCTTAGTGCAGACCCCTCCTTCATCCCCTTTCATGCTCTTGTGCTTCCCTCCTCAGCCTTTGCTTCCTGAAGTTCTGCACCTCCTGTGAAGCCCACTTCCAACACCAGCTCCCTCAGGAAGCTTTTGCTGCTTCTCCTCCGTGGTTCTAATCTTTGCCCTGGGATCTCACGTGGCGACACTTTGTCCCCTTCAGATACATTGTGTTCTAGTTACCTGCTTTTGGGTCATGTCCTTCTGTTAAATGGTCAGCATCATTAGGGCAGTGACTGCTTTTTATCTATACTCTGACCTAGCACTTTCAGTGGGCACTTAAGAAATAGTTGTTGAATTGAGTGATCTTTTTTAAGATTAAATTTTATTTTATTTTTAGACCCTCATCCTCTCCCTCCTACCCCCTAATTGAGAAAGCAAGAAAAATAAACCCTTGTTACAAACATGTAGAGTCATGCAAAACAGGCCATGTCCAAAAGCACATTCTTCAGTTTGCCCTCTGAGTCCATCCCCTCTCTGTCAAGAGGTGGGCAGCATGTCCATCTGGAATTGGGTCAGGCATTACACTGACCAGAATTCCTGAATTTGTCAGAGTTAATTATCTCCACAGTGTTGCTGTTATCACATAAATTGTGTTCCTGGTTCTGCTCACTCCACCCTACGTTAGCTCATACAAGTCTTCCCAAGTTTCTCTGAAACCCTCCCCTTCATCATTTCTTGAGACACAGTGTTTGAATTGAATGATAATTTATGTAAGGAATCATGTAGAAGCCAGTCCCTGGCTCCAGGTACCCTAGTTGTCAGGTATTATTATACTAATATTAAAAGCTTTCATTTGTACAATACTTTAGAAAGCATTTTCATCTGTTATCTCACTAAATCTTCACAGCAACCTTGGAGAGATAGCTAGATTTGAAGAAACCTGATTCTGCCACTTACTCCCTGTGTAGCCTGGGACCCCATTCCCTGTCTGTGAAAAATAAAAAGGTTAAACTTGATGACCTGTAAGATCACTTCCAGCTCTAAATCTATGATCCTTTTTCTTTTTTTTTTTTATTTTAACATTAAATTTTTTTTCGAATTCTGCGTTCCAAATTCTCTCCCTCCTGCCATCCCCTACCCTACCTTTTTAGTAAGGCAAGCAATATGATACCATTATTCATCTAAAGTTGTGCAAAACATATTTCTGTATTAGCCATGTTGCCAAAGGCGGGGAATTAAAAAAAAAAAAAAAAACGGAAAAAATTGCTTCAGGTTTCCCTCAGAATTTATCAGATTTCTCTCTGGAGATGGATAGCATTTTCATCATGAATCCTTTGGAATTGTCTTGATCATTGTATTGATCAGAGTAGCCGAGTCTTTCACAGTTGATCATCATTACAACACTACTGTTACTGTACACAGTGATCTTCTGGTTCTGCTCACTTCACTTTGCATCAGTTCATGTAAGTCTTCCCAGGCTTTTCCGAAAACATCCTGCTCGTCGTTTCTTATAGCACAATAGTATTGCATCACAATCATGTACTACAACTTGTTCAGCCATTCCTTAATTGATGGGCAGCCTCTCAATTTCCAGTTCTTTGCCACTCCAAAAAGGGCTGCTATAAATATTTTTGTACACATAAGGCCTTTTCCTTTTCCTTTGCTCTTTTTGGTGCATAGACCTAGGAATGGTATTGCTGGATCAAAGAGTACGAATGGTTTCATAGCCCTTTGGACATAGTTCCAAATTGTTCTCCAGGTTGGTCGAACCAGTTCACAACTCCACCAGCAGTGCATTAGTGTCCCAGTTTTTCCATATCCCCTCCAGCATTTGTTTTTTTCCTTTTCTATCATGTGAGCCAGTTCGATAGGTATGAGGTGGTACCTCAGAGTTATATTAATTTGCATTTCTCCAATAATTATTTGAACATTTTTTCATGTGACTACTGATAGCTTTGATTTCTTCCTCTGAAAACTGTCTATTCATATCCTTTGACCATTTATTGATTGAAAAATGGCTCTTAATTTTATACCTTTAGCTCAGTTCCCTATATATTTAATAAATGAGGCCTTTATCAAAGAAGCTTGCTATAATTTGGAACTATGCCCGGAAGGCTATAAAACCATGCATACCCTTTGACCTAGCAATACTAATACTAGGTCTGTATCCCAAAAGAGATAAAAAACAAAAAGGAAAAGGACCTATATGTACAAAAATATTTAGAGCAGCTCATTTCCGGATGCAAAGAATTGGAAATTGAGGGGATGTCCATCAATTGAGGAATGGCTGAACAAGTTGTGTGTGATTATGATGGAAATGATGAGCAGGACGCTCTCAGAAAAACCTGGAAGGACTCGCATGGGCTGATGCAAGGTGAAATGTACTGTGTACAAAGTAACAGCAATATTGGAGGATGCTCGGCTATGAATGACTTAGCTATTCTCAGCAATACAACGATCCAAGACAGCTCTGAAGGACTTATGATGAAAAATGACATCAATATCCAGAGAAAGAACTGATGGTGTCTGAATACAGATTGAAGCATACTTTTTTTTTACTTTCTTTATTTTTCTTGAATATTTTATGTCTGTTTTCTTTCGCAACATGACTATTATGGATATGTTTTGCATGACTACACATATATAACCTATATCAAACTGCTTGCCTTTTTAGTGGGGGGGGGGGGTGAGGAAGGAAGGAGGAAGAATTTAGAACTCAAAGTTTTAAAAGTGAATGTTGAAAATTGTTTTTACATGTAACTGAGGGAAAATAAATAAAATACTTAAAAAAACAAAGAAGCTTGGTATAATAATTTTTTCCCCAATTTCATGCTTTCCTTCTCATCTTAGCTGCATTGGTTTTGTTTGTACAAAACCTTTTTATTTTCATATAATCAAAATTATCCATTTTACTACCCATGATCCTCTCTATTGCTTGTTTGGTCGTAAAATCTTTTCTTATCCATACATCTGACAGGTAATTTTTCTTTGCTCCCCTAATTTGCTTATGATATCATCCTTTATGTCTAAATCATGTACCCTTTTTTTTTAAATTTTTTTTTTTAATTTTTAGGTAATTGGGGTTAAGTGACTTGCCCAGGGTCACACAGCTAGTAAGTGTCAAGTGTTTGGTGTGAGGGGATTTGAACTCAGGTCCTCCTGACTTCCGGGCTGGTGCTCTATCCAGTGCACCACCTAGCTGCCCCTAATCATGTACTCATTTTGACCTATCTTTGTATATAGTGTGAGATGTTGGTCTATGCCTAGTTTCTGCCAGATTGCTTTTCAGTTTTCGTCACAGTTTTGTCAAATAGTAAGTTTGCCCCCAAATCTTGGATCCTTGGGTTTATCAAATGTTAGATTACTATGATCATTTACTTCTGTATATTGGAACTAATCCATTCTACCGACCAGTTACTCTGTTGCTCTCTGGGGGTGCTAGGAACCCCAAAATTCAAGGGCAAACAACGAGGTTCCTGCCTCGAATGAATTCGACCCAAACCTTCTTTCAGCCAGAGACAAGGTTTATTAAAACACCAGTAAAAGTGGGCAAGATTTTAAGAATCCACCCTGCTGGCCAGATTTTAAGACTCTGAGCCTTTGTAATGAGAATATAACAGGGCCAGACTCTTAAGGAATCTGAGCCATTTGTGACACTTGTATTGATGTATTGACAAGTGGGCCAGACAGACTCTTAAGGAATCCGAGCACCTTAATGTAGGCGAGATGAACCTTTTATACAGTAAGACTGTAGGAAGATCTGGATGGGAGTGGACAGTGGGCTGGAGTGACTGGGAGGTAACAGAGAAGGACCTGGAAGGGGGCTGGGTGCCACAAGTGAACGCCAGGGACCTGAGCCATGTAGAAGGGGTCTAGATGGAATTAAGGAGTGGTGGTCTAGGGTAGGGCCAGGTGCAGACAATGAGGGCTGGGCTAGGTTAGTGGCAACAGAGAATTGGAGATTGGGGCAGGGTCAAAGCCTCAATGCCAGGATTGTTGAAAGGATTATAGCCTCAGACAAACACCAGGGCTTTGTGGGAGAGTTCAGGGGAAGTTGGGGGGCGGGTTCTAGGGCCTATACCCCATCATTCTCCCCTCAAATATATGGGACCCAAATTCTTTCAAGGTAAGGGCGAAGGTCTCAGCTTCTGAAACTGCTTCCTGCTGGCAAGGGGCGTAGAGCTGTCCGTGCCTTGAGGGGGTCCCAGAGAGGAGGTTGACAAGAGAACCAAGAACTGAGCACAGGCTGCATTTGGGGGATTCCCTTGGTGTTCTTGACCTTTTGTTCTTCCAGATGAATTTTGTTATTGTTTTTTAGCTCTATAAAGTAATTCTTTGATAATTTGATTGGTATAGCACTGAAGTAAATTAATTTAGGCAGAACTGTTGTTTTTATTATATTGGCTCAGCCTACCCATGAGCAATTAATATTTCTCCAGTTGTTTAGATCTGTCTTGTGAAAAGTGTTTTGTCATCGTGTTCATATAATCCCTGGGTACATCTTGGCAGGTAAATTCTCCAATTAGTTTATACTGTTTGCAGTTATTTAAAATGAAATTTCTCTTTCTACCTCTTCTTGCTGGGTTTTGTTGGTAATATATAGATATGCTGATGATATATGTGAGTTTATTTTTTATGTTGCAACTTCGGTAAAGTTATTAATTGTTTCAACTAGTTTTTCAGTTGATTCTCTAAGGTTCTCTAAATATACCATCATATCATCTGCAGAGTGATAATTTTGTGCTTCACTGGCTATTCTTAATCCTTCCATTTCTTTTTCTAGTACGATAATGGTAATAATGGACATTCTTGTTTCACCTCTGTTCTTATCTGGAAAGGCTTCTAGCTTATCCTCATTACATTTAATAATTGCTCTTGGTTTTAGGTAGATACTAAGTATCTATCTATTTATTCCTTTGCTTTCTAATCTGTGATCCCTTTTCAATAGATTAGCAAATTGAGGTTCCGAGAAGTAAGCTGAATTGTTCCAAGCCCCTCCACTTGTGGCCAACAAGACCAGACCCCCTGTGTCACCACGCTGCCCCTCTAGTCTACTAAGGATGCTTAGATGAGAACTTTCTCTAGGCCATCCTGCATGTTGATGTGCTTCATTACGTCTCTTTCAGAGAAGAGCTTGAAGCAGATGAATATGAAGAAACCAAAAAAGAAACTTTGGAACAGCTGGGTGAATTCAATGATTCGCTGAAGAAAATTATGTCTGGAAACATGACTTTGGTAGATGAGCTTAGTGGGATGCAACTGGTAAGCTCTCATAAGTGTTTGGAAGTATGTTGGAAATGGAATTGTGTACATGTGCTTTTATTGGTGCAGATTCTGGCATGTAGCAATGATTTCTGTGTATACCAAGCAAGACAGCCTGTGCTTCCAGAGGCTCCCGTCCCCTCTCTGGGAGAAGAGCTCTGTGATGTCTAGTAGGCAAGCAGAAGAGCCATGGGACAGAGAGCTGCCGGGCGCTTGTAGTCATCGAGGCATCTCTGAGATAGATGTTGTCATGACTCTGTGCCTCCTTGTGCTTTCAGGCCATCCAGGCGGCCATCAGCCAGGCGTTTAAAACACCAGAGGTTATCAGATTGTTTGCAAAGAAACAGCCAGGGCAGCTGCGGACAAGATTAGCAGAGGTAACATGTACTCTTTATCCGAGTAATCCTTGTTTGTTCACTTCTGCTCCTGCTCCCAGGTTTCCCCAGTTTGATGTTCTGAGCTGTAGAAGCTGACACCAGAGGTTTCCTAACCAATCCAGTACCATGTTCCCCTCATGATCTTTGCTCCTCTAATGCCCGCCTCAGATGCTGTCTCCTCCAGAAAGCCTACCCTGATTTCCCCTAGTCATCAACCACTTTCCTTCCTTAGTTCTCATGGTGCTTTGTTTTCTAACTCTCTAATGCCCATAATCATGTGATTTTGTATATTGAGGTTATCTCAGTCTCTTTGGGAGGGGCTGCTGGTGCTGGGGTTGCCTATCTATCTATTTTTTAATATCTTAACCCCGTACTAATCTGTAAGTTCCATGAGGGCAGAGGCTATATGTTGCCCAAACTTTCTCTCTCCCTTAGCAACCTAGCACAATGCTTTGCTCACATTTGGCACTTTATAAAAATATATATATGTTTATGTTATTAACATATTATATATATTATTGTGTTTTGTCTCCCCCTTAAACTATCCAGTGATTAACTTTGTTGAGTAGTGACTGTTGAAAATAAACTCTGGAGGGGGCAGCTAGGTGGCGCAGTAGATAGAGCACCAGCCCTGGAGTCAGGAGGACCTGAGTTCAAATGTGACTTCAGACACATAACACTCACTAGTGGTGTGACTCTTGGGCAAGTCACTTAAGCCCAATTGCCTCACCAAAAAAAAAAAAAAGAAAGAAAGAAAATAAACTCTGGAAAAGGAAGAAGGTGAGGTGAACAGGAAAGATTTGAACACAAAGGCAATGTAACTACAAAATTTATCAGTAAATTTTTTAAAAACTTACTCTCAAAAATAACATCCCTAGGGGCGGCTAGGTAGCATAATGGATAGAGCACCAGCCCTGGAGTCAGGAGGACCTGAGTTCAAATCCAGCCTCGGACACTTACTAGCTGTGTGACCCTGGGCAAGTCACTTAACCCCAATTGCCTCCACAAAAAAAATAATAATAATGTTCCATACCTCACAAAAAGAAAAGATACCCCAGAAGTTCTCAGATGTAATAAGATGGCTTTTGTCTGTAGTCTACCCCTGAGGCTAGAGTTCACAGGCTTTTCAACTTCCAGTGGTGAGGCATTAACAATGTTACTTTATACTTACACAACATCTCCTCTAAGAATCTCAAAGAACTTTACAAGTTTAATTAATGACGCCAGAGAAGTATTCCACTTGTTTTATAGACTTCAGTATACGTGAGGTGCTAAAGCCAGTTAAGTTTTTGGCACCTGGGGAAAATTCAGTCGTTAGAATGGTTTGAAATAAGTTCCAAGAGATCAGATTCCAAATTGCCCTTGTCAGAGCTGGAGAGCACATTTCAGCCAAATGAAACGAGTACCCAGGAAGTGGTTGTTGTCTTCCCCACAAGACTTTCGGTCTGCTAATTCTCTACTCTGTAGAAACCTGGCATCGCCCTTATGGGGGCTGGCAGGGCAGACCTTTGTCAGTCACCACTGTGTGCAGACCCTGGCCCTGATACAGTTCATCTTCACAAGTAATTTATCCACAGTCTTTTTTTTTTTTTAATTAGAACTGAAAGCTTGGCTTTTATGCTGTAAATGTGTTTTTTATATGTTTTTAAAGAAGCTGCTAGAGTACTTCCTCCTTGTATTTATCACTTTTAGATGGACAGAGACCTGATGGTTGGAAAACTGGAAAGAGATGTATACACCCAACAGAAGCTGGAGATACTGACTGCCCTGCGGAAACTTGGAGAAAAGGTACCACCGTGCCAGGGTTCAGTGCTTTTAGCACAAAAGAAAATGTCAGCTCTTTGTCCCAGAGTGCTAGATTTGGTGTCAAAATTTTCCTGCCTATGATTTTACTTCTGTGGGATAGAGGGGTTAGGGCAAGAGTGGGGAACCTGTGGTCTCGAGGCCAGGTGGGGCCTTCTAGGTCCTTGGGTGGGGCCTTTTGACTGAGTCCAAGTTTTAAGGAACAAATCCTTTTATTAAGGGGATTTGTTCTGTGAAGTTTGGATTCAGTCAAAGGGCTGCCCTTGAGGACCTAGAGGGCCACATTGGCCTCAAGTCTGCAGGTTCCTCATCTCTGGGTTAGGGAATAGCTCCCCACCTGTAGTCTGTTGCTGCAGAAATATATAGCTGTACATAGTGGGGAAGGGGAGGGGAGAGAGGGAGAGGAACTAAATCATATGATAACATTCTAGAGCGAATGATTCCTTCCCTCAGTTCCTTTCTAGTAGAGTGAGCTCTAGACCCGAACTGAGTCAGAAAAAGCTTGGATTGGAGTCTTGCCTTAGGCCTTTAGCGGTTGGGAGGCGTCAGTCTCAGGTCCCTGAGCTCTGTAACACAGACCATAATGCCTGAACTACTTACCTCACAGAAAAGAGTAAATGAAGATACTGTGAGTGCAAAGGTCTGACCAGCCCTAAATGAGGCACTAAATGAATGTTAGTTCCATGGGTCTTTACCTATGGCCACAGTTTGCTTCAACACAACACGGTCCAATTGTACTCTGCTATCCTGGTTATTTCATAGCGATGGAACAGTAAGCACTGAGCTAAGTCTGGATTCCAGCACCAAAGCCATTGACCCCAGCTCCATGCCGTTCCCCTGGGAGAAGCTTTCCAAGGGTCTGTCACATTGAACGGAGCACGTGCACGCGCACACACACACACACACACACACACACACACACACAGCCTAGGAACCTGGGCTTACAACACCTACCTCTTCACAGACTATTTTTCTCCTTTTTGCAATAGCTAACTGCCGACGATGAGGCCTTCTTGTCCACAAATGCAGGCGCTGCCCTCAGCCAGTTTGAGAAAGTCTCCTCTGACCTTGGTGAGTCTCTGCCTCTTTCCACGGCCCCAGGGTTGATCACTCCTCTCTGCAAGTACAGTGAGGCAAACCTGAGTCCCTTTCCCCGAGGGCATCTTCCAAACTAAATTGTTGTCTTTTCAAAATTGATCTCATTTCCCTTCTTTCTGAGAGCCTTACTGGAGACGCTGCTGCTGCTGTCCTGCAAGTGAGGTCTTTTCACCACCACATGTTCCCGGCCACTCATTAGCACATCACTATAAAGTGAAGTGGGCTAAATGATTTCACTTCAGTTCCTCTTTCTGTGCCCCATGTCTGGAGACTGGGAAGACCATTTTCTTACATTTCCAACAGTGAGGATTCCTACCTCCTGAGTTCTCTTGCCATAGTTGCATTATTTGTGGCTAGAGGTTTCGGGTTGGTGGGAGGTATAGGAAGGCAGTGTCCCAAAGCAGGCTGATTCTGTCTTCTAGCACCATGTTGATATAATAGATCCCAGGCTGCACACTCTTTAAGATAGCCCTAGGTTATTTATTATCTGCCTTCTTCCTTCCTTAGGCTCTGGGGACAAAGTCCTCGCTTTGGCAAGTTTTGAAGTAGAAAAAAACAAAAAATGATGAGGAGCTGTGTAGAGTCCCTGGGCATTGGTCACGGTATAAATGGCGCATTTCTGTCTTCTACTGCGGATCTAAAGTCATCTCTGAAAACTCTAGAGAACCTGGAGCCACATTAACAGCATGAGAAAAGCATAATGGAGGCATCCTCTGGCCCTGTCTACGTGCTTCACATGTGTGTGTGGGCAGTGGGAGAGAGATGTGCCTCATGGATGGATGGATGGTCTCATTAAAACACACACACACACACACACACACACACACACACACACACACACACACACACACCCTTACTTTAGAAGGGTCTGTCTGTGGAAGGGAGCAGAGATGAGGGAGGAGGTTATGTCTTCACCAAGAGGCTAAATTTCTATGCATCTCTGCTTTTGTTTGCTTATGCTGATGATGAATGGAGCCTAACAGTAACAACAGCTTCTTTCCCTCTTCCAACTGTCCCCTCTCTATGGGCTTACTGCTCTATCCATATCCTTACAGCTTCCCAATTCAATGGAGGTCTTAAAGGAGTGAGATGATTTGTTCAAAGTTAGTGGCAGAGTGAGTCAGGATTAGAACCCAGATCTCCAGACTCCCAGTTAATCTCTTCCTACTACACCATGCTGCCTTCAGTGTCCCCTGAAAGTGGTGTCTATATTTATAGAGTCTTACTCTGTACAGTATAAGAAAGGTATTTGCGGAAGCCTGGCTTTTTTTGAAAACTCTGTATCCTAGCAAAGAACAGAGCATCCCAGCAGCCTGTCTGCTCTCCGTATGAATGGAAGCCATTGTAGCTCTGAATGTTGAGCAGGGAACAATGGGGGCCCTGTTGGGGGGAGCCTCCTGGAGTCACCGAACCCCCCCCCCAGTTGTCTCGCCAGGGAATCAATAGGAAATGGCATCGCGAGGCCTGCCCTCTGTGACCTGTGACTGTGGCCCTGGGCCCATCCCTGGGAGCTGCCCCTCCCTCCCTGGTATTCCAGGACTGTGGCATGAGCTGTCGGGAACAAGGCACCAGTGCCTGTCTTGCCATGTTGGTGTGTGTGTGCCTGTGCGTGTGCATGTGTCTGCGTGTGCGTGTGTGTACACACGCACTCAGCTCTTTCTCATTTCCTTGTCTAGTGCCATTCTTGATTCTGTTTCCTCTACTTAGTTTTCTTAACACATCACACAAAACAGCAAATATCTGTGAAGCTTTCTATGTACTTTAAACTGCACTTTTGTTCATGAATGGGAAATTCCACCTTAGGTAAAAATTATGCCTTCTTTATTTTTTTTTTAGCTAGACAGTCAGGGTGTTAAGTGACTTGCCTGGGGTCACACAGCTAGTTAAGTATCAATTGTCTGAGGCCAGATTTGTGGAGTCAAGTCCTCCTGACTGCAAGGCTGGAGCTCCATTCACTGTGCCACCTAGCTGCCCTTGCTATTATGCCTTCTTTAGAACCAGTAATAGGAGTCCTTGTTTTCTGGGGTTACTGGTTTGTGGCTTTCAGCCCCGCTTACCTCCTGTCTTCCCTCACAGACACCCCACTACCCCCACCTGATGAGGTGGTGGCTCACCGCACAGGAGCACCTGCTGATCACCATCTCATGCTTCTGTCCTCTTCCTGTCACAGTCATCCCTCAGCAGTCTGCTTTTTTAGTTATTAGCTTAGCAAGAAAATGAGGAACAGATTCTATTCAAGCCCCCTTGGGAAAGGACTCCAGGGACCTTAAGCCCAGTTTTTTGTTTTGTTTTGTTTTCAAACCAAGTCATGACCTTCTAGGACATAACTTGGCTTTAATCATTTTGATCGTGAGTTTGATCATGTGCGTTTTGAAGCTGATTTTCCTTTAAAGTGACTTTGGTTAGACTTCTGGTTGAAGTGGCCAATTTTGTAGCAACCAGAGAAACAAGAGGCCTGTGGGCCTGCTGGCTTCTCTCAGATGAGGTGAGATCTCGACCGCTGGTAAACTTGACACCTCTTCCTAGATGACCTTTGGGATGAGCGCTCCCCAAAGTCTGCCCAGGGTGGAATGTAGTAGGAAATTGTTGGAGAAATAGTGTATCCTTAATGGTTCTGTCTGTGCCATGGAATCTGCTGGGGATCTGGTGTTTCATTAAAGGAGAGACCTTGAAAAGTGAATCACATCCTATGCAAACCATAGTCATTAAATAATTTTTAAACTTTAGCCATTTTCTATTTGCTTATATGTGTCTACCATTGTGTGTGTGTGAATCAATCATTTCTGGGGGAGGGGAGTCGTATTTCTTGTTAAGACAACTCGCTCCCTTTGAAAGTTTAAATGTGACTCGAGCTTGGACCCCCTGCCCCTAACATTGACTCAGGACCCTCACTTCCGGGTGTCTCAGCTGAAGGAAGACTTGCCCATATCATTCCCCAAACAGGCTGGACGAACATACCTCAGTCTTTTGTGTTTTTGCTTTTTTAACAACATGGCATGGAAAGATTTTGTCCTAGGAAGGTAAGCAGGGCTAAGGGAAGGGATGGGGCAGTAGAGACAGAGGTCATGGTGAGGACAAGGTCAGAGCCTAGGGAAGGGAGCCCAGCAAGACTCAGGCTTGTTGTTGTTGTTAGACCTTTAGTTGAGGATATGCCGCCAGGGAATGGTCATCAGGCCCGAGACAAAACACTGAGCAGCCCCAGCTCTAAAAGAGGATCTTCTTACAGTGCCTAATGCTGGGTTCGAAATTATGGAGAATATTCCAAACCCTCCAGTTGTTCTGCCTGGAACATTGCAACCACCTCCTCATCTTTTTCATTATTATTATTAAGGCCAAAGAATTCTTGTCTTCCTTTCCCTAATGTTTTCCAGCATTAATATATAAATGTAAACTATCAGCATTCCCACAGACCTCCCAGACAAGCTGTACAACATAATTGCTTCCAGTCTACGTGGCCCTGGAAACGGAAGGGCTTGGGGCATTGAAGAAAAATAAATAACCCAGCAACTAGGATTTCACATTTCTCTTGATATGGAAATAGACTTAAAAAATCCCAGTTGCCTTAACAGTTCCTAAAAATGAGACCTGTCTTATTCCAGCAGCCTGGTGCCCAATAAGAAATTTTTCCTGGTCACACTCAGAGCAAATCAGAGTAAGTGCACTGTTTAAAGGGCCTCAAACACAAGGGACCCGAGATGAAGCTGTGGGGAATGTATCTGTGAAAGGAACGTAGGTGCCACTGACCCAGGCAGCAGAGGATGGGGAGGAGAGAGAACGGTAAGGCTGTGGAACCCAAGCTTCCTCACCCTCGGTGGGTGTTGTTTGAGATCTGATCCCTTCTATCTGACAGCTAGCTTTCATTTGAAAATAACTGAATTGTAACCCATACAACTGGTGAAGGGAGAGGAGGGCCCCCACCGGCTTGTATGAGGAGTTTGGTGCAGACACAATCTAGGACCTCACCTTCAGCCCTGTCAAAAGTTTCTGGTGAGAATTGTGACCCTAACCTTGGAGCCTCCCCTGGAAGCTCTTTGGGCTGCTGCAGCTTCATCCCTAGCCATGACTTCAATGCAGACAGTCAGGTGTGTCTTGGATGGTTTGTTTCTTCTTAACTCTCCAGCCAGCATTTATTAAATGCCTGCTGTGTACAAGACACCATGCTGGGCATTGGAGATGCAAACAAAAAATGCAAATAGTTCCTTCTCTCGAGGAGCTTCTGTGGGAGAGGCAGTCTCTATAATAGAGTTGCTGGCCTTGGATTCAGGAAGAACTGAGTTCAAATCCTCTCTCTGATGCTCATACTCGCAGTGTAACCTTGGACAGGTCATTTCGCTTCTGAACCTGTTTTATTCCTCAGTGAAATAGGAGTGATAACAGCTTTTGTGAGGCTCAGACGATGTAATGTCTGGCAAGGGACTGACAAATTTTAAAATGCTATATTCGTGCTACAATACAATACAGTTATTGTATCCATTGAGGAGTAGTACGTGAAACTTCCCTATCCGATAAAAACATTTTGGGGTTGGGGACAAGGAGAAGGGAAAAAATTTGTTTTTCATCAATTACAAATTCTTAAAAAATGATCCCAAGACTGAGAGACCTTCGGCTCATGAGAAAAAAATCACCATTTGCTCCATCTAGCCTAGCGTCCTGCCCCTCAGCACCTAGAAGCCAGGGTTATGCTAGGCGAGCTAAGTTGAAAATTGAGGCAATTACTTAAATGGGAGCCAAAAGATCCAGGTAATTCAGATAAAAGCAGCTATTTGGCCTAATCCAAATAACTGCCTCCATTCTGCACTTGGCTTTGGCAGCAGGCTCAGAAAATTTGGTTTGTTCTAGCTGAAAAATGAAAAAACCAACCAACCCAAGGTGGCAGACTAGCTCCTCCTCCAGAGCATCTCAAGTTTTCCATAATTCTCTCTTATGTCTGATGATGGCGATTACCAACTTGGACTGATCTGGTGAAATGATTTGTCTTTACTCAAGAAAGGAACAGTGATCCTCTGGGGGCAAACAACATCCCAGCTTTTCTTGGCCTGGGCCTGGCAGGCCCTGCCTCCCACACATTTCCAGCAGTCTAAGTAGTTTGTCCCTGGGCAGGAACATACCATGTTTAGGAATTAGTGGCTCACCAAGGACCCCTGGGTTCCTTCCTCTTCAGCTTTCTGTATAAATGAGCACCCACGGGCATCCATTTATAGCAACAATGGGCAAAGACTACTGTCCCCACTATACATTCCCTAAGAAAAGTGAGTCCTTAGACAGCTTTCCAAGTCATGTTGTTCATTGCTGGGTATGGGGGGAGGTGGGGCAGAGGAAGGGAGTGACTAATATGAGTGTGCCCAGCCTGATGTGCCAGGGCCTGCTCTAGGAGTCTGACTGACTCCATGGCATAGCTGCTGCCCATGAGGTAATTTCTGACCTCATTCACAGCACTGCTCTTTGCCAGCTTAGGAGATCTAGGCAGCTAGGTGGTACAATGCATATTGTGCCTGGCCTAGAGTCAGGAAGAACCATCTTCCTGAGTTCAAATCTGGCACTTACTAGCTGCCTGACCCTGGGCAAGTCACTAATCCCTGTTTGCCTCAGTTTCATCATCTGTAAAATGAGCTAGAGAAGGAAATGGCAAACCACTCCAGTATCTCTGCCAAGAAAACTCCAAATAGGGCCATGGAAAGTTGGATGCAACCGAAATGACTCAACAACAACAATGCCATATAGCAAAGCCAGAGGACAATGACTGGATTGGGTGTATAAATAGACCTCACGATAAAGAAGAGATCTGTGGCTATGTCAGAGTTTGCCAAAACTTGTAAAAGCATTGTTGCTGAAGATATTCAAACCTCTGTTGGGATGGATGGGAGCAAATTGTATCTTGGGAATGAGAGTAACAGTTAGGTGACACAGGAGATAGAATGCTGGGCCTAGAGGCAGAAGACCTGAGTTCAAATCCTATCTCAAATACTTCCCCGGCAAGTCTCATCACCTCCTTTTACCTACGTTTCCTCTTCTGTAAAATGGGGATAATAATAGCACCTCCCTCACAGAGTCGTGAGGATCAAATGAGATAATATCTGTAAATCACTTTGCAAACCTTCAAGTCTATATAAATGCTAGCAACTATTATTGACTAATGCCTACAGACCCCTTGGTCTAAGATTACTCTTCTGTCTTTTGTCCCTGTGACTCTGCCTTTCTTTAATCAGTCTACTAAGAAAATGCCATTAGGAAGATATTGTATTTCTTAAGTTATTTTGGAAGCATATTCCACAATCTAGATGGAAGACGTGGAAGCTCCCTCCGTTCTAATCTATATTCTGTTGCCAGTATCGGCCCCTTGACCTTGGTCAAATCATTTAGCCTTTCCCATCCTTTTGTGGGGTTGTTTTTTGACAGCTTATTGTTGCTGCGACATTGGGGTGTCTCTTTATAACATCCCATCTGTTCCCAATGTCTTCTCCCCCAGTAGAAAATAGAACCCTGCCTTCTAACAGAAGCACAGTTAGGCAAAACAAATGGACATATTGATTACATGTGACAGCATAGCCTTTGTCCTGCGTAGTCCACCTCCTGAGGTCAACATCAGTCATTATCTTGACTGGAATTCTGATGTCTTTCAATGTTATTTTCCTTTACACCAAGAGTTCTTAACTTGTGAGACTTTTGAGCTTAGATAGATAGATAGGCAGGCAGGTAGATAGGTAGGCATAGATAGATAGACAGGTAGATAGGTATAGATAGGTAGATAGGTAGACATAGATAGGCAGACAGGTAGACAGGTATAGATAGATAGGCAGACAGGTATAGATAGGTAGATAGGCAGACAGGTATAGATAGGCAGGTAGACAAGTATAGATAGGCAAACAGATAGATATAGATAGGCAGACAGG